ATCCTGACTTTCTGGGAAGGAAATCTCATATTAAGGGGAAATTGCAACCCTTAGCAAAGATTTTGCCTCATTGAAAATATTAGGAATCTTTACTTATGTTTTAGCCTGTGGAGGAAAACAGAAAACTTCCTAAATGCCTAGTTTATTAAACTAGTCATGCATTTTGATGCAGGTTTTAAAGCAGTAGAACATGCACAAGGGCATCATAAGCATATTTTAGAGGTAGGGAATAGCATTTATACTCATTTTTATATTGTTAATAGCGCCCCAGAGAATAAAATTAGGTTTTGCTCACTTTGTATAATTTTATTTTAATAGAATGAGACTCACATAAGTGAATGTGTAATATAGGCATAGAATTAATAAAAATACATTTATTACAGATTTGTTCAAATCTTGAACACACATGGCACAGCAAAATGCTACAAAGTGAGTTTGTGGTTTTTGGTGAAATACATTGAGTAGACTTTGGATTTTCTTTGTTGGAATGAAATTTTGACCAGGTCTTATTGTTTTTTCTGTACAGCCTGAACACTGATGCCGGAACTCCAACTGATCATAGGCACAAATAGGGTGCTGTAGCAGTTACCTGCTTATTTAGTGTTGTAATTCTTTAAAATTCATACTCAAGTTCTTAAAATATGGAACCTTCAATTAATATTTGTTCATGACTGATAAATAGAACTTTGCACATACAGGAAAAATGTGCTAGAGAAATGGAATTCACAAGTTTTAGGGGCTAATCAAAATGATGATTGAACATTATACTTTATACTTCTTTATCCCCTTTCTTTCAAGGATTTCATAATGTTTCATAAACATTATCACATTTATCCACCTAGACAATTCCTAGTGGGGTAAGAAGGTGTAGGAATTTTCAAGGCAAAGACAGTGCAATTTCTAGATGTTATGAGAGAAAATAAAATGTAGACACATCTACTTTAAGCTGTGATTATTATGAAATGGCTTTATATTTGGCCAACATGTTATTTAATGAGAAACATAGCAGGAGGCAATTTGTTTGTAAAAACCATCAGTATTTGTTATCACAGCCTAGGAGCTCACTTTTCTAGAAAAAACAAAAAACCCTGTAAGGAAATCTAGTTTCTAGATTTTGCCATACCTACATTTTCCCTTGAACAACAAGTCTTCTATCCTCTTTCTACTAGCACATTCCTTATCAATAAAGAAGACAATGATAAAAACAGACACCCAATCGACTAAAAACATTCCCTTTGATCTTTTCGTCTTTCTTCCTATTCTCAAACTTGCTTCCTCTTTATTGAGCCACCAACAAGAAAACAGAAAAAAATATATAGACATGAGAAAGGGGAAAGCTAGATATGATGTTACATTCACATTATGGATATTTTCTGCAGTTCGCCTTCTGGCCTAGACATGGTGAGATACCTAGCATGTTCAACTGATTACAACTAAATGGTCCATTTGGCTTGAATTGCCCTGGAAATGATCTCAAATATTTTTAACTATTTACTTAGTGAAGACCTGGCCACAAGCTGGTGACAGATAACCTGTCATCATCTTCATCTCTCCTAGGAATCTAATGGAACAATATGTGAGTGATCCAAACTATTTAATGCCACTCTTAAAGTGTTCTCCTTTCACCAAGCAAAATCTAGTTCATTGTAAATCTATAACTAGATTTGTATTTAAATCTACCCTAGAATTAAGTTCTAATGTGACAAAAGCTCTACTCATCTTATGCAAAAGGCCAACTGTATTTTTATCCACACTCTTAATCAGTTTCCTGTGGTAGTACTTACAATTTCTGTTGGAATAAACACCAACCTTGCATACTTTTAAATATTACATTAATTCATAACAATGTGATATTTTAGTCATTTCATACTCTGAAGAGTTTGTCTTTCTATGGCACAGGAATTTGTCTTCTGGTACTCTCAATGGACTACAGAAGATCTATTTATTTAGAATAGGTGTAATGTTTCAACGCACTTCAGCAGAATAATGCCAAATTAGAAATGGGTTAAGAAGGACTGAGGTGAATCAAATAAAAGTTTTTATTAATATCAATATCTTAACTGAATAACAATGAACTATGACTAAAATATGATATCCCAAATTACCTCATCATTATATAGTCAAAAGAATACATTGAATGGTAGAGGAAATTGAATAGTAATGTCAAATTAAGTCATTTAAAAAGACACTAATTTTTTTTACAAGCAAATACATTTTACTTAATTTGATTGACCATAAGGAATCCTCCATGTGTTTTCCTATGGCCTTTCCCTACATTCTTACTTTCTTTATGATGATGGATTTTAGCTAATCCTTTTCATAAATTGTAAGTATATAACACAAGAGGCAAGTTTCACACTTACTGGGGTGTAGGACAGCCAGTTGTGGCCCTTGAAGGATGACTCAACTGGTCAACAAAGGGTCTTCTGTATGGAGAAGACCATACCAGCCTTTTGTGCTGTGTTATCTGCCCCAGGCCAGGCAGTGCTGTGCAAAGAGAAGGACTCTGTGGGCTTTAATTTGTACTTTAAAAAACCCCAGATTTATATATATCAAATTCACACTTTTATCTATCTGATAAATCTTAAAGCAATAAACTTCCAGCTCTTCCCAAATGTCTATGTGTGTCTCTCCTTGAAAGTTCCCAAGCTCCTAACGTTCCTCTGGAGAGGTTTTATTCATTGCTTTTCCAGATCTTTAATCTTGTTTACATCCAGAATGCCTATGAGATCATCTCTGTTTGGAGCTCAAGTACAAACCCTCTTAAAAACATGAAACATTCAATTACTAATAAGCTGTTTCCTGTGCCTAATGAAATTAGCTAGCCAGGTTTGGATTAAAATTCAGGTACTGCTATCCTCTGTTTATGGTTCCAGATGCTTTTGTTTTATCTAAGAGTTTACATTGACAGCTACTACTAAATGATAAATCACTCATATTATAGCTGAAATGCATTTTGAAATTGAAATATGTCAAACTTTGAGATTGCTCTAAGGATCAGTGTCAGTTAGTAGGTCAATATTGACTCCTTCCTTATGATCATTTGGCATTGCCATACATATAACAGTAACAAAATATGTGTCAACATTATACAGCAATTTTAAAATTGGGAGAAAAAATTTACTATGAAATTTCAATTGATTGTATTGTGAGTTAAAAAATGATTTGTATTAATAATATCTTCTTCTTGCTAGTCTAGTTTTTCTTTGGATTTTCAAGTCACTGTGGAAACTGTTCCTGATAGGCCTTACAAGCAGGCACATTTAATGAAGGGTGTGGGTAGATATGTTTGTCTCTTTTAATAAAGACAAAAGTTAAACATAATAAAGAAGATTTTTCAGAAATTGTGATTTTCATAAATGACAAATGGTGATTGTCTTTGCCTTTCATTGCTGTATTTATATACCATTTTTAGAGAGTATTATTTGTTTTGCCACCCCTTTTCAGATTGTAATGTTCACAATTTGTACTGCACGATTTAAGCTTTGCTATATTGTATACATTTAAATCCTGGGAAAATAACTGCCATTTGGTTTTGAAGACCTTTCCTTTAATATTTAGGCTGTGTAGCCAGGCGCTGGTGGCTCACACCTGTAATGCTAGCTACTCAGGAGGCAGAGATCAGGAGGATCATGGTTTGAAGCCAACCTGGGCAAATAGTTGTGTGAGACTCTTATCTCCAAAAAACCCTTCACAAAAAAGGGCTGGTAGAGTGGTTCAAGGTATAGGCCCTGAGTTCAAGCACCAGTACCTCAAAAAGAAATTAGGCTGTGTGTACAGAGGATGAGATAGACTGGAGAAACGAGTAACTAATTGGCAATTTCATAATAAATATTCTGAGATTCCATCCATAAAATTTTGAGCAATTCTCTGGGGTGACAGAGTACCAAATAGTTTCCAAAAGTACAAGTTTTGTTTTCTTCTGGTCCCTGGAAAATTTCAGGTGAATTCCATGAGTTTCTTGGAAAATGGTTGCCTTCTAATGAAATCAAACCCTCTAGCTAGTATAACACGTTTTCCAGAAAATGCCACTGACTGACCATGATATGTTATACACAGAAAAAAATAAGCAACTTAATGATATCAAACAATTAGTTCAAAGAGGGTATACTTTTCTCCTTATGATACTGTTTTTGCCAGACTGAGTTAATATTTTTCACTGGGCATATCAGTTCAGCATACTAATGTACTCTCCGTTATATATGAAGATAATACATTTGACTCAAAAATATGTACTTTTAAGTGTTTCCTAAGCACTTGTAATGGATTTGCTCTGAACTATCCATGCTTTCTTTCCCACCCTCTTTGTAACCAAAGACCGATTTTTGTGATGTAGGTAGATGAAGACTTAGGTCATAAGTCATTGTTATGGAAAAAAGTAATGTTAGGCTAGTATAGTGGCATAATTTAAAAAATGTTTTCAGTAATAAGTTTTGCTCATGGACCAATCAGATGTTACCTCACTGCACAATGGTATAGACTCTGGATTACCAATACTTAAATGAATACTGGTTTTATCAAACACTGTGATTGAAAGGATATTCAGAACCAGTCTCCCTTCATGCAGTATACACAGTCTAACACTTAACATGGGGAAAGGAAATTGTAAATATACAAAGTTTTTATTATCTTACATCAAATCAGGTAGTTCTTTTCTCCTTGTTTTTGGTAAATCATTGGGATGTCAAATGTACCATTATGTAACAAAAGGAAAAATAATGTAGATCACTGAAGGCACAAATCAGAGTTCAGGAAAAGTCTTTATCAGTCTTTGATGTCTTCGATGCTATGGAAAGAACAGAAGCTGTAGAATGAAACTTGAGGGATCTTTAGAAAGGGACACATTAAGATATAGAAATGTTAAGTTGAATTTTACCAATATATTAAATCAAACCTGTTACATCAGACATTTTAGGTTCCTGAAGATAGAAGTTTTAGTATGTTTATGTATGTTTCAAATTTCTTCTATGGAGAACTAATTTGTTTTCTTTTTTTTTAAGGAGGTAACTATTACTGTTTAGCAATGGCACAACAGTTTTATTCAGCCTGAAAGGTCCTCGCTGGCTTTACATAAATGAAGATGTTTGTGATTCCACTTTATCTCTGAAACTATTCAACATGGAGTTATTTCAATTGTATTTATCAACAAAGCTTTGTTTATTAAAGCAGCTATTCAATCTATGTTACATTAAAAAAAAGGAACATGTGCATATTTTAAAGCAATGATGTAAACTTTGTCCTCACATTAGATTGCCCAGTTTAAAAACATGATCTAAATCCTAATGTCTAAAGTAACTTGACCATATTTGATGCTTTTTCTATGCTCATTTCAGCTTGGCTTTGTGTGTTTTAAGGAAAAAATACAGTAGTGTGTTAGAGACTAGAAACTTATATGTATGGTTTCTCTGTTCTACCATATGTTAAGTACACCTTCTTTGTTAAAAATGTGCTTGCTAATCTTCACTATAAATAAAAGCATTTTGACTTTGTCACTTGCCACTGAATTTTTATTTTAAAATTGACAGATGTAGTCCTTTAAACATATAGTAGAAACCAAAATATAGGAAATAGGAAGATGTTTGCAAAGCTTTCTCCAGTTTTTTATTTCTAAAGAAATAAGAATATACATCTTTTTATTAAAACAGGTCAATATTCTAATTATCTGAATTGTTCTGTTGACTGGATTGCCTTTTCCTGGCTGTGTATGCTTAGTGTACTTTATTTCAGGAGGAAAAATTGCTCTCAGAAGTAGGAAAATATGGTGAGCCAAGAGCAAGACAATCTTTTCTGAAAATCTATTATTTTCAAAAAGTTTTTTCTGGATCCACCTTCAATGGAAAACAAATAAAACAAAATGAAAAAAAATGAGTTAGTATAGGTCTACTCTGGCTCAAAAAAATTCTAGGTCTCTCTTTATGTCCAAGTATCCATGATAGGCCAGTGAAAAATCCAATGCCATTTACAGCCTCATCCTAAAGTTTGTCTAACCTATGATTTTAACCTTGTCTTGGTTCACTTTCAGTAAATTCCTGGAGCCTACCTACATTCTGGTTCATCCATAAACCTCTCAGTTTTTCTTATGAAGTAGCAGTGCCACTTCCATTCCTTTCATGTCTTATGAAAAATATGCTGTATTCCACAAGGTGTCATTTGGCCACTCCATAACTATAGGTCTCCTAGTTTGAAATCATGTTGCTACATCTACTGATGATTCCTCTCACTAGCACTTCCTCATCATGCTTGTTAGTACAAGACTTCAGAGTCCTGGTAGGACTATACCTCCTTACTATAGAGGAGAAATATCACTTAAATTTTTTATTCACTAAGCAGGCCTGCTGTAGTAATATACTATGCCTCACATCATAACATAAGAAGCAGTTTTCCAATAGTCAATCGGATGATATGCAGGCTTGCATTGTTTAAAGGCTAATGTACCTATGTTATTAGTTGCCCAACTCTTAGGAGTCCAAATGCCTAATACAGTCTGTGACTCATGCTCACATGGTATCCCTTGCTCAAAAGTTCATTCTAGTACCTCAAATTTACTCAAGGTAAATTCAGATATGAAGTCCCATAAAATTCATTTTGCATACTTGTACAATGGTTCAGAGTATATTCCCATTCTGAAAGGGAGGACTAGAAGAGATAGAATGGAGGAATCAGAACAAAGTAAGACCTAACTGACCAGGGCAAACGCTAAATACTATACATCAGTATGTAATGTTTGGGAGTTTGGGGAACACTGAGGCAAGATATGGACATCTATGCCCCTATAGCGTAGCTGGTTGCAACCTCATGGCCATGCCCTTAGCACTGAATTCTGTCTGTAGCTTCCCTCTCAGTCATTCTGTGTTATTGATGCCTCTACTTTTAAGGGGGAGGTCTTTATTGCAGCTTTGGTTATACTCGTATATCACCCTGCCAGGAGATGCTTGCATAAATACTAAGCCTGAAACACACTGCCTGCCCCTATTCTAAGACATTCCTTTGAGAGCTATATGGAAACCTCTCTGTTTTCATGCCTCTTACATTCTGCATTTCTGTAAAACCAACATGACATGGAGGATTCCAAGGTTGCTTACCAGTATGCTCTGCACCTGTTCCATCTTGAACCATGGCTAAGGTGAATGCTGAGTGCCTCACAGCTCAACATAGGGAAACACATCTTAAGTGGTTTGGGGGCACATAGTGCACCTGGTACTCCATTCTCAAATGAAAGTCTTTGAAACAAATTTGCATTTCCGCATCTTTGAGTTTGTGATGAAGTGACTTGCATATTCTTTATATGACCTTAAAGGCATTTTTCCTATTATCCTGATACAAAGCATATACTCCTTTTTATAGGCACTAATGACCTTAGCAACTGTAGTCTTCTTGGCCACATCTTTACATGTGCTTCTTTCCTGGCTAACAAAAATTTTTCAAACTTTCTTCTCTGTTCCTTTGAGCTCCTGATTTTCATTGTAAATGCAGTTAAATGCAGCCAGCAGTACTCATGCTACTACCTGAATGCTGTGCTTCTTTGAAGTTTTCTCCATCAGAAAAACTAATCCATCACACTTAAGCTTTGCCTTCAACAGTCTCAGGGCGTGGGCAAAATTCTTTCAATTATTTGTTGTTGTATACAAGGTTATACTTCACTCGAATTCCTATCTGAAACCTCATCAGCATAGCTTTTACTATTCACATTCCTAAAGGCATTTTAGTCTTCTGAACTTTTACTAGAATTACCCATTAGACTTTGCTTACAGCGTTCTAGAATTTTTATAACTTTCTCCTTGAAATTTTTCTGAACTCATCCTGTAAAACAACTACAAATGCTTCTCCACATAATCATGTAAACAGGAATAGCAAAGACCTCTCCACTTCATATACCAATTTTCTGGATTAGTCATCTTTCCATTACTATAACAAATACCTGAGATAATTAGCTGAAACAGAGAAAAGATTTCTTTGGGCTCACGGTTTGTCCGGTCAATGATGGGTTAAGCACAATGGTTTTAAGTCATGGCGGGAATGTAATAGAGCAAAACTGCTGATATTATGTTTAGAATGCCAAGAGAAATGAAGAAAAGGTGGCTGAAGTCCTACTCTTCCTTTCAAGGACACACCCATACTAACCTAAAAGCTTCACACTAGGCTTTACTTTTTAAAAGTTCCACCATCTCCTAATAATGCCACAATCTGGGCATTACCGCATGGATTTTTGAGGGATACTTATCCAAAACTTAGCACATGTATAATTTTATTCATGTATAAATGACTCCACTGGATTTTGTCATGAAAAACTCTCTCCTTCTACAAGTATCAGCTTTGTTTTTTCTTACTCAGGAAAATGTGTCTCTGTGGAATGCTATTTCCAAAAATAAATTAAAATAGAATGAGAAAGTAGGAAGCGCATAGGAGAGTCTTTCAAGACCATAAAAAGTCTGAAATTTCAAAGGTATCTATACAATTATTGTTTAAAGAATTATAATACCCAGGAAGTATTTTTGTTAGATAGTTTTCATTATAAAGATGATATTGAACCAAAAACTTCACCACTTAAACATGAGCTTAAAGGAAAACTCTCCTCAATCACAAACATAGCTAAGTGACTCACTCATTTAAAATTAGAAAACTGTCTGATTTTACAAGTAATATAAAATGAATCAACATAGTTTTCATGCCTGTTTGTAGTAATATTCCCATATATGTGCATAAGCACAATATATGTACTCAAACACTTCTGCTTTTCTTCATCAATGATTACTAAAATTAAAAATGGGCATTCTCCAGTATTTTCTGGTTCAGCTAGGTCTTGAAGCATATGAGCAATTCAATTATGATATGTAAAACAAAACTCAGGTATTATGATAGTTGGCTATCATTGGGAGGGGTGGTAGTCATATTGATTATAAAATGCTTCAATGATGATTACAAATCTGAAGCTCAACTCTTTAATTACTTAAAAATTCTCCTCCCTTAATTTCATGCTGATGATGTAAGATTTCCCTTTTTGATATCTTCTCTTGGTTACTTTGCAGTCCTCTGAAGTTTCTAAGCTCAAACAAATAATAGCCGAGCAGAAAACACAAATCTGGGACCATGTTTTAAATTCTGCCACATTAAAAGTATGGGAGGCACAAGGACCTGGAAGATAAATGTGCTGACTTATCAATGAAAAAATGCCTAAGATCTTGTAAGGCATACTTATTAAAATTGTTAGAATTGGTCTAGGTCACATAAACAACTTCCCTCAAAAAATATCAGAGAGCTACAATAACCACAAATGCATTTGTCATGCCATGATAATTCATTATGTTCTGATGAGGGGAATATTTGTTCAAATCGGGATGACTTTTGAAAAATGAGTTGAATCTGCCGTCATTTCAGTAAAATGCTAAAAATTATGGTAGAGCTTAATTCTTGGCTTGTCTTACCATTTATGAGATTAGCAGAAGATGAGGTTCTTACAAGTTCCAGAGCAATGTGAGAACACACTGAAAAAGTCACAGTTAACCAAATGGGATAATTAAAATTAAAAGTAAATAGGTACAATTCAGTGTCTAACATTAGAAAGAATACTTTCTGTTATAAGAAACTTTCAATAAAATCAAGCTAACAGAATTTACATTATAAACCATTACAAGTCACTACAAATATTAGTTAATTAAATGTTGATATACATGGTACAGAGGTAAGAAGAACAACATGTTGCATGCAATAATAACTGGCAGGCTTTCTGAAATGCAAATGTAGTCTTAAATAATAAGCATGATTGTGGAGGGAGTGAAAACAAAAGATGAATACTGCCTAAGCTCCCAAATAAGAAAGCAAAGTAAGTACTGTTCATAGAACATAAGGCAGCACAGAACTGTTGCCCAACTTTAGTGAAAGACAAGTTTTGGTAGGTAATATGGGCTATCTAAAAGGGAATTTGAATGGATTGCAATAATCATAGTCCAGGAACCCAATGTCAAATGGATTAAGTAGAGAAGTTGCAGGAAGAGAGACAATTACATGTCATTACATAACAATTTCATATATTCCTCCACATATTTGTAATTTAAAAGAAGGATGTGGTATAATTCAAGATAGCATACAAGCTATGAATTTCACAGATTCTCCCCATCCTATCTATGAGAATGCAAGATATTCCATGGGTCAATCATACATATGAAGGAATGCTCTACAAAATTTAACATTTGGATTTAAGCTTATAAACATCAATAACATCATAAGCCATGAATTGAGTTTATTTGAAGTAAAACATTTTATTTGAAGATTTTAATCAACCTAATTATTTCAGGAAATCCCTGAATTCTATAAAGCATGACAAAAGAACAAAGAATACCTTTCATATGAACTATGACTCCAGCTAGGCCTCACATCCCTTCCTACCACTCAAGGTTTCACTTCTTTTGCTGCTTTCAGATGTAGGTTGTTCTGCTACCTGAGAAAGTAATTTCCCCCTGAACGTTTACTCCACAACCTACCACTGGTATTTTC